TGGAGATTTCTTGAACTACTAAACATAGAGCTTCCATATGATCCAGCAATTCCACTCCTAGGTATTTACCCAAATGACACAGAAACAGTAATTCCAAAGGGCACCTGCACCCCTATGTTTATAGCAGCACTATTTACAATAGCTAAGCTATGGAAGCAACCCAAATGTCCCAAAATAGATGACTGGATCAAGAAGGTGTGGTACAGGGCCTCCCCAGTGGCACAGCGGTTGAGTGCTGGGTTGCGAAGCGGCCTGCAGCCTCTGCAGCGCCTGTTCAATCCCCGGCTGCTCCCCGGCCACCGGAGGAGAGTCCCGCATGGCACGCAGACCTCTCCTGCCGCCCTCTGCTCCCCTCAGCAGTGTACTTCTGTCCTTCTGCCTTTTCTGCTCCCCACTCTGGCACTGGTGAATTCTCTCACCCTCCCGCACTTCTGACTGTACCCAGTGCTTGCATAAATAAATAGATAAATATTTAAAGAAGAAGAAGATGTGGTACATATACACAATGGAATATTACTCAGCAATCAAAAAAGATAAACACATGCAGTTTGCAGAATCATGGATGGAGCTAGAAGGGATCATGCTCAGCGAAATAAGTCAGAAAGAAAAAGAAAAATACTGGATGGTCTCACTCATAGCAGGAATTTAGAAAACCTAAATAAGAGACCAGGAAAAAAACTAATCAATACAAAGTAAAAACCAATATCAACAAGCAACTATAAACCAGAGACACACTACGGGTGGGGGGGGGGTAGGGAGGGGTGAGAAAAGGAAGGACTAGAGTCAAAATAAGGGGGGAGGTACAATTGTATGGGGAATATAACCAAAATGAAAATGCATACATTGTGCAAAGATGAAAAAATTTGTAAGAATTATATAAAATAAAATATTAAAAAAATAAATTTTACTTGGAAATAAGTAAAATTGAAGAGAGTTAAAAAAAAAAAAAAGGTCAGGAATGAATTCAGTCCCCAAAAGCTTTTTTTTTTTTTTTTTTTTTTTCCCCTGTCAACCTCCCCACAGCACAGTGCAGGGAAAGAGCACAAGGTCCCACCATTTTTCAAACCTGCCCTTTATGGTATCTCCTACAACCAAGATTCTGTGACAGGTAAATTGTCCTTGGGCTCCCACGGACCAAACTGACAGAAGAGACTGGGCATCTTCCCAACTCTAGCCTCCCTTTCTAAAAGAACCCCAGGAGACAGACTCTGACGATCCCAGAGCCTCAAGGATTTGACAGCAGAGGCTGCACAGGAACCGTTTGCAGGGACAGAAAAGGGGAACCTTAGAAATATGTTTTGGAACCAAGTAACCAATTTTACATCTTTGTAGATAAGCCTACTCTAGATTAACGAATGCCTGCCTGGTTTAGCTGGCAGAGCCAAATTAATGGCTGTAGGTGGCTCTAAAATGTAATATTGGGCTTCCCTGGTGGCACAGGGGTTAAGCACAGCACTATCAAGCTTATGACAGCCACTGCAACAGGAGTTCGATCTCCAGACAGCCAGGGAGCAACCCACATGGCGCAGTAGACCTCTCCTGCCTCTCCTGCTGCTCCCTTCAGCAGTGTATTTCAGTAAATCTGCCTGTTCTGCTCCCCACTGTCTCTGGTGAATCCTCTCACCCCCCATACCCTTTGGCTTACACCCCAGTTCTTGTATGCATACATAAATCTTTTAAAAATGTAATATTGGGCCTCCCCGGTGGCGCAGCGGTTGAGTGCTGGGTTGCGAAGCTGCCCGTGGCCTCTGCAGCGCCGGTTCGATCCCCGCCTGCTCCCCGGCCACCGGAGGAGGATCCCACATGGCGGGCGAGTAGACCTCTCCTGCCGCCCACTGCTCCCCTCAGCAGTGTACTTCAGTCCTTCTGCCTGCTCTGCTCCCCACTCTGGCTCTGGTGAATTCTCTCACCCTCCCGCGCTTCTGACTGTACCCAGTGCATGTATAAACAAAAAACAAAACAAACAAATAAAATAAATAAATAAAACATGCCTCTATAAAAAAAAATTAAAAAAATTAAAAATGTAATATTAATAGGGCCTCCCCAGTGGTGCAGTGGTTGAGCGCTGGGCTGCAAAGTTGCCTGTAGCCTCTGCAGCACCGGTTCGATCCTCGGCCGCTGGGGTCCCACATGGCACACAGACCTCTCCTGCCACCTGCTGCTCCCCTCAGCAGTGTACTTCATCGGTCTGCCTGTTCTGCTCTCTGGTCTGGCTCTGGTGAATTCTCTCTCCCTCCTGTGCTTCTGACTGTGCCCAGTGCTTGTATAAATAAATTTAAAAAAAAATTTTTTAAATCTTAAAAAAAAATGTAATATTGATATATATATATATATAGATATATCTTTGGGGTTCTATTGCTTAACCAAATTATTATTTCAGCAGATGGTAGTCACTAAATAATTTTTGAAGGTGATTGTCTCTTTTCTTCCCACAGTATATAATTTTTTTGAATACCTTTTTTGATGGACTCTTAACACCAGTGTTATAGAAACAACCCAGACTTGGGATGTCCTCCATACTTGTCATGGATTTTTTACTTGGAAACAATGTTAGTGCTTGATTCTAAAATGGTGAATTTTAATGGAGAATAAATTGACCTGCAAAATTTTTTTTTTCTCATTGAAGAGAACATGGGGGTTTTTGAGAGGGTTTTAATTTCTTTGTTCTGTTATCTGTTACCGTGTTGTGGGATGATCAAATTTCACATTTCCACATTGCTAAGAGACAGACAACTTATCTTGTAGATAACTGGCATAAAAGATCTCTTTATTCTCTGGACTTAAGTATTTCTGAGAATTGTCACACTTCGTACTAAAAGCTAAATTATGTAGAGGTGACGTTTTTTGTTTTGTTTTTTACCAACCATACTCACAACATAAAAAGTTTAAATAAAGGCTCCAGTATATCAAAGCAACCTGTTTGGAAAGTTCACATCTGCCTCTGTTCTTTTTTTTTTTAAAAGATTTATTTATACAAGGGCTGGGGTACAGGCCAGAGGCGCAGGAGGGTGAGAGAATTCACCAGAGACAGAGCTGGGAGCAGAACAGGCAGATGGACCAAAAATACTGCTGTGGGGAGCAGTGGGCGAGACAGGAGAGAGATCTGCTGTGCCATGTGGGTTGCTCCCTGGCCGCCAGGAATCGAACCCCCACTGCAGAGGCTGTGGACAGCTTCACAGCCCCGCACTCAACCCACTGCGCCACCAGGGAGGCCCCTGCCTCTGTTCTTGGAGCTAATTCCTTTGCTTCTTTCGGGAACCTTCCCAGGCACAAGAGTGGTAAGATAGGAGTAGACTGAGAATAGCCTTTTTTAGGGCTCCAGATAATGTAAAAGTATCTCAAGTGAACCATGGCCCCAGAAACTCTAAATAATTTACTGATTTGGGATCCAGGGACATATGACTTTATAGCTCATTTGCCCATATGCTTTCCTTTAAAAAGAAATTCATCTTGCAGTACAGATATCTTGAGAGTGCCAAAAGCTTAGATTGGTAGGGTTCAGAAAAATGTGCCCAGATGGTAGATGTTGGTGAGAAGTTAGGCACCAGAATTTATTTGAAACTGACTTCTCAGTATTAATCAGAGTTTTATAGGCTTCTGATTTTGACTGGCATTAAGGATTGGAGACTGAGCTGGCTGGTTAAGCTTTAATGAATTAAGGACGTCTGTTCGTGTTATGATAGTTCAGGCTCTCTTTTTCTGTTTCAGTTCAAGGTAGAGTTCTTTGTAGCAGTTGGTTTAAAGGAATGTGTATTTTCTGAGTGGTCAGTTGGCTCTTTAAATCACTGTGTACTATATAGCTAGATCTCAGACACCCTCCCCTCAAGAAGTACTATTATTACTCTCCTATTACTGTGTGAATTGACTTCCAGTCTCAGCTGATTTACTTTTTTAATGAGCTATAGTGTATTATCACACTGGAAAACTTAAATGTCTTTGTTCTACTAAGATGAGTTGGGTAAACTGCCCAAACCGTTGATGTCAGGAAGACATACTTTCAATGTGAATCCTTAAAACTAACTGCAGGTATAAATTTGAGATAGTTGCTGAGATAGGGAAGAAGGAAGCAACATTGATAAATATTATATGTAGAATTAGGTAGAATTTTATGTTTTCATAGATGTCTCAATTATTTAATTTTAATTTTATGTGCAAATTAAATATAATGCAAACCATGGTTTGCCATGATTTGTCTTTGTCTTCACAGATTGTTAGATTTTTTTTTTTAATTAAAAAATGTGTAAATGAAGCCTCCCTGGTGGTGCAGGGGTTAAGTCTCAACGCTATTGCTGCTGTAGCCTGGCTTCGATCCCAGCCCCCTTGGCAGTGTATTTCAGTGGATCCACCTGTTCTGCTCCCCATTCTGTCTCTAGCGGATCTTCTCACACCTTCCCCTACTCCACCTCTTGCCAGGACCCCAGTTCTTGTATGTATAAATAAATAAAAGTGGATTTTTAAAAATATATATGTAAATGATAAATGTTCATTACAAAGAAGAACATATGTATCGACAGCAGAAAGGGAAATTGCATAGAGATAAACAGTGTAAATTGTAAATGTCTGTCTTCTTAGGTCTTCTCTCCATCATATATTGCTTTCAAAACCAAATTATATGATGTACGGTATTTGGTAAATTTTACTTTATGTAACAGTACATCATGAATGAATATCTGATCAATATTCTTCATTTTTATTTTTTATGACTGCTTAGTAGTCCTTTGTGAGATGAACTATACTTTATTTAAGTCCCCTATAATTGGAATATAGATTGTTTCTAATTTTTGCTTAGTAGCATTTATCAGTACATCTACCTTCTTTGCCCCTTTCTCTGGTTATAGCTTAGAACAGATTCCTGGGAACAGGTTACTTTGTAAAGAAATTGCACATTTTAAGGCTCTTGAAGCATATTGCATAGTTTCCAAAAAGGGCTATTCCAGTTTTCAGTTCTTCTCTGTCTCACTGGCTTTATACTTGCATTAAAATCTGACATTTGTATTTAGTTGCAGAATGAGGAAGAGCCTGGGGAACCGGAACAGGTCACAGGTGATGCTCCTCCACCATACAGCAGCATCTCTGCAGAGAGTGCAGGTGGGTACCCGGCTGGGTGACAGCTGAACTCTTGTCACTTAAACATAGACTTGTTCGGTCTTTGTTGGTGTTTGCTTTTGCTTCAACTTTCTTCAAGAAGCCTTTTATATTATTTTTAGTGTGTAGCCCAAAGTGAAAAAAAAGTCACTATCCTGAAAAACAGAGAAAAACCCATTTCGGTCTGGCTTTTTTTTGTTTGTTTTTTGAGGTATGAATGTGGCTTTTTATGGGACTCAATTTCATTCCAACAGATTATTAATGTAAAATTTCTGAAGTAGAAATTCAGAAACCAGGTGATCACCTGAGTTTTGTTCTTTTACTTTTTGAGGGGAAATCTCTAAAATGACCAGAAGTGCCTTTCTCCCCTTCATTGTTAAATTAACATTGCTCACTGTGTGTACCGATCAGTCCATTTGGAAAAATTGCTTAGATGCAGAATGGCACACACATGTTAGAGGGGAGAAGCACAAATCTTTATTTTCTGTACTCACTTTATCTATGGTTTAATTTGTGGTATATGAATTTGGCCAACCTAATAAATACTGGGGTTTTCTTGTTTTTAAGGTGCTCAATAAACTCAAAAGATTGTCATACTAAACTACTAATGGAAACAAGATAATGTGAGGTATCTATACTGATGAAATTGGTTTGCAAAATAGTTGCAATAGGGAAATAAAAATGTTATTTCTCTCAACTTAAGATATTAAGGTATTGGTTTTATTCACATATTTAGAATTTCTGTGGTAACATGCCGATTCCAGTTGTTCATTTAAATTTCTAATGTGTCTTGGTATGATTTGATTAAAAGTAAAAAGAAATTTTTAAGGAAATTACGTATGGAGTATTGTTATAATATGTACAAGTATATATTACGCATGTGTATTTGTAAATATATGTATGCTCACTAGTAATTTTGACATTGAATTAGGTGGCTGTGTTAGTTTCAATTAACACATTTTCCTGTTTTCTTCTAAAAGTTTTGATCTCTAATTTTTCCCATTTACAGTCTGCATTCCATTAGAGTGGTTTGTTCTGTATACTGTGAGGTAGTGGCCAGGATTAATTTGTTTTTTGATATGGATATGCAGTTGGTTCATCACCATCTATTGAAAAGACCATTCTTTCTGCAGTGTACTGCATTGTCACCTATTAAATCAGGTGACTATATATATTTATCTTTTTCTTACTCATTCTTTTCTTTGGTCTGCTTATTTTTGTGCCCCCACCTTACTGCCTTAACTCTAGAGGTTTATTACTTTTTTTTAATATCCAAAGGACAGGTCTATCATAAAAGGGAGAGAAGAATAAAGGACAATTGCACAAACACAACCAGGCAGAAAGAACTGCCCTGAAAGGGACAGGTTTGTTGTTAAAAGAGAGACCTGCACAGTCACGGGTGGGCAGGAGAGCTGCTGCCTACTTTTTTTTTTTTTTTTTTTTTTAATAGAGGCATGTTTTATTTATTTGTTTGTTTGTTTGTTTATACAAGCACTGGGTACAGTCAGAAGCGCGGGAGGGTGAGAGAATTCACCAGAGTCAGAGCAGGAAGCAGAGCAGGCAGAAGGACCGAAGTACACTGCTGAGGGGAGCAGCGGGCGGCAGGAGAGGTCTGAGCACCATGTGGGACCCTCCTCCGGTGGCCGGGGAGCAGCCGGGGATCGAACCGGCGCCGCAGAGGCCGCGGGCAGCTTCGCAACCCAGCGCTCAACCGCTGCACCACCGGGGAAGCCCTGCTGCCTACTTCTTGAGGTTTATAATCTTGATATCTGGTAGTGTAGGTTCTTCAACTTTTTCATTCAATATTGCTTTGTTTCTCTTTGACTTTATGCATTTTATGTCCATTTTTAAATCAGTCTTTCAATTTCCACAAAATGGAACAAAGTATACAGAAATGCTGCTAGATTTTATTTTGGATTGCACAGAATCTATAGATCTTTTTGAAGTGAATTAACATCTTTATAATACTGTGTCTTCCAACCTGTAAGCATTACATAGCCCTTCATTTATTGAGGACTTCTTTAATTTCAATAATTTATCATTTTCACTATAGAGGTCTTTTACATCTTTTATTAGAGATGAATTTCTGGGAATTTGTTGTATTTTGGTGCTTATTGTATACAGTCCATATGTAATTTCTCTTTATTGTATTTGTTGCTTGTATATGGAAGTACAGTTAATGGTTAATATTAACTATATATCCAGACTCTTTGTTAAATTCATATATTAATTCTAATAGCTTGCCTGTAGATACTCTTGCATTTTTCCCATGCCATCCCATTTTGCACACCATCCTTGATTAAATCAATTTATATTCTCCTTCTCAATCTTTTATTTCCATTTATTACTATATTGCACCAAGTAGGAGGACATCTAAGATATTGTTTGATTAGAAGTGATGATAGTGGTATTTTTGTCTAATTCTCTAATTTTAGGAGAGAAAGTTTTTAATAATTCACCATTATTGTGATGTCTACTATTACAAGTTTTTTGTAAAGATTTGTGATCCAATTAAGGAAGTTTCCTTTTATTTCTAGTTTGCTAAATACTTTAGGTGTTCAACTTTATTAAATGCTTTTTCTGACCATGTCAAAAACAATAAAATTTTCTCCCTTTATTTTCTTTTAATGAAGTGAATTATTTTGACTGCTAATATTAATAATATAGCACAATAAAAATTTTGGAAGTTAATTACAACTAACTGAAGGGGAGGGGAAGGAATGAGAAGCATTAATCTTGATGTGCTACAGGATTTTATCAAAATTCATGTTGTTGTTGTTTTTCTCCAAAACTGTGTGTAGATATTCAATCCATTTGTAAATAGTTCTCTTCTGATAATAAAGGCCAGTGAAGACACAGCATAAAAAAGAGGAACTGAAAGACTTAAAATGCAGATAAATAATGGTTCTGTAACTGGATTAAGTTACTGTATGCATATCATAGAACATAATACATGGTAAAATAATGTGAAAGAATCAATTACCAAAATTAACTTGTAAGAGATAAATTTTAAGTTTTTTGAAAGTTGATTTTCATATTTGCAAGTGGAGGAAACTATGGTTCAGATTTACAAACATACATGAATTATTTTCAGCTTAAGTGTTTCCTTATGTCACTATTAATATTTAATGCCTTTTGTGAGCACACCATATTTAACACACAGAAAAGTGTTCAAAAGCATTTGGATGGGAAGGCAAAGTGAATCAGAAATTTTAATAATTGAAAAATGGATAAATTAAAAACATCACTCCCTGGGTCTTATATTCATCTATAAATATGTTTTGATTCAATTAATGTAGATACACTATTAAAGAAAGGGCTAGGTTTTTCGGCCAGAGATAGTGGAACACCTTTTGTTCTTCAGTTCAGCTGAACATCCAGTAATTGTGACTTCCTTTTTATTCTGCAGCATATTTTGACTACAAAGATGAGTCTGGGTTTCCAAAGCCTCCATCGTACAATGTGGCAACAACACTGCCCAGTTATGATGAAGCTGAGAGAACCAAGGCTGAAGCTACTATCCCTTTGGTTCCTGGAAGAGTAAGGACAATTTATCATGTTACTTTGTGACTGCTTTATGGGAATTAGTTCATTTTCCAATTTTGATTTATTATTTATGACTTGTAATGGTATTGATTAGTGAAAACTACAGCTAATTTTTAAAACTCAAGTACTTTTTCTTTTGGGATAGTAAACCTTTATCTCTTCCAGAAAATGATGAAGTAAAAGGTACAAATGGACAAAAAAATCACTAATGAAGCCAGTTCATTTTCCCTGTATTTCAGCTACTGCCACCACTTTCTCAGTTCCCCTGAGATGGCTGAAACATCTTGGATCAAGAGCTGATTTAGGATATAACACTGTATTTGCCTTGATGCTACACACTTATTATTTTGGTGTATAGTTGCTAGGGAGATCTTTGGATAGAATAAATAAATGTATCTTCATAGAATTAAATTCACAAATGCGCCCTAATCATCAACTAGATGAACCTTGTGCCTCCAGCAGTCCAGACCATACCATCTTTAGGGCATAGTGAATTTAGATTGTATCTGTCTTGATTTTGATTCATGGGGTGTGATGTAAACCAGCCAGAGTTGGGAAAGTGGGGACATTTTTGATGTCATCTATACATGATGTAATTGTAGCTTCACAAGTATTCATCCAGGTTGAAGTTGATGCAGGAGGGGCCTTGGGCCAGATGTTGGAAGAATGAGAGGATCCAGTCCCCAGAAATGTATAGTGATCATGTTAGGTCTTCCATCCAGTAGGAAACTAGTGAAAGATAAGAACAAAAACAAAAACTCAGTCTGGGCCATGTGATGACATAGACCCCCAAAGGTTCTAACCTTAGGGTAGTGAATTATTTACATATTGCACCTATTAAATGTGTAGAGCTTCTAAAACACCTGCTTGGCAGAAATAATAGTTTATAAACCTAGGCTGATACTACATGGTGATGTGCATTCAGTTCTTGCAGGTTCCAGGGAGAAACTAAGAACCCTTATGAAGCTTACTGTCTCAATAGACAGTCATAATATAAAAATCATGTGTTGGACATACTTGGTATTGTGCTTGGTGCTTTTATATATTTTGTATATTGTTTCCAATTCTTACGGTAATCTGAAAGGTAGAAACTAATTGTTTTCATTTTACAGATGCAAAAACTGTGGCCCAGAGAGGTTAAGTAATTTGCCTGAGGCCATAAGCTAGTAAGTAGAAGAGATGAGAGTGATCAACCCATGTCTTGTAGACTTCAAAGTCTAAAAGTATGCCACATAGTACTCTGTAGACCTGTTGAGATATACACAGGGTAACTGTCCATGGGTGTAGACCAGATTAGCTCTGGTTTATCACAGAACTCTTTACAATACTTTCATTTGACAAATATTTACATTTAGGAACCTCTTAAAATGTTCAGCAAATATGTATAGAACACTTATTTTTAATACAAGATGCTATGTACTTTGCCATGGATAGGTAGAAAACTTTGTATAAGGTAAGTGTTCTGACATGCAAGAGCTAATTTCCCACTGGAGAAAAGTCCCAGAGATACCCATATCTAAGCAGCACAAGAGCAGTGAGCATTAGGAAGCCTGACTTTTTACGGTGTATCATGGAGAGGATATGATTTGAAGTGGGCCCTGAGTTTTGATGGATAAGAACATACCATAGGGAAAATTCAGAAAGTAGGTGTAATTCAGCTAGGTGCAGGGTACGTTCTATGGACGTAATAATTGGTTTTACTTGAGCAAAGATTTTGTGACCAGAAATGTGGGTTATAGAATTCTCTGATTGCTAGACTAAAGCTTTTTTTTTTTTTTTAAGATTTATTTTTTATTTATTTATGCATACAAGAACTGGGGTGTAGGCCATAGGTGCAGGGAGTGAGGATTTGCCGAGACAGAGTGGGAAATATAACAAGTAGATCCACTGAAATATACTGCTGAGGGGAGCAGCAGGTGAGACAGGTCTGCTGTGTCTTGTGGGTTAGCGCACTGATGGGGGATCAAACTTATGCCATAGTGGCTGGCGATAGCTTGATGGTGCTGAGACTAACCTCTGCGCCACCAGGGAGGCCCTAGACTGAAGCATTTAGACATATATGTAGGTCTTAGAGAATCCTTCCAGATTTTGAGCATAAAGGTGGTATGGTGTCTTAGAAATATAAACTGGCAACAATTTGTAGGAAGAATTATTGTAGAAGAGATACCAACAACAGTAAGAACAGTAAGAAGGCATTTATAAAATCATTAGAAATTACTTTCATGTACTTTTGGAGTTTATCTTTGAAAAGTTACACAAAAAACAGAATTAGTTTCTAATTTGACAAAGTCTTTCTTTGCTAATATGAAGTCAGAATACTATGTACTTAGTATTTAAAATATGTAAAACACATTCTTATAAAAATTTCACATAATAGAGGAAATGTGCCAAGTCAGAAATGGAAGCTGCCATTTTCACTTTAGCTCCCATTCCCCAGGAGAAGCACTGTTGACATTTTGATATGGATTTCTCAGCCCCTGTTTGGCAAGTTTTGATTCTCCCTAATGTGTTCTGTCCCTGTTTTTTTGAGGAACCCTCATTGGAATGTGTACAAGCCTACCACTTCTTAAGTATATATTGATTATTTTTCAATAAATCAACACATACTTACATCAGTTGAAAATGTCAACTTCCATATGATTGTGTCAATGTTGATCAAAATAATCTTCCTTCTAGACTTGGCAATATTAATTTCAAGTTAGGATGGAAGGGATTTTTCAATAAAATGGAGGTGAAGATGATATAGACCTCTATACTAATGTATGCAAATGGTTATGGAGTTGAGCTGTGGGCAGCCCTATAGATTCTTTATATATGATCATACAACCCCCCCTCCCAAGTTTAGTCTCATAAAGAACTTGAGTTAGTCAGTTTTACCTCCTTAATAATCCACAGATTATTAATACTCTGCGCCCTACATAGCCTCTAATAGAAGTTGTATTATATAGTTTACACCCAGTGTGTAAGTAAATTTTAAAATTTTTCTTTAGATATATATAAAAAAGGAAAATTGAGTAGTTCTTTGTGAATTTAGAATTTTAAAAGTGTATTTTTTAAAAAGTTGGGTTCTTAAATGAACAATCCCATTCATTTAGAAAGTTATGGAGATAGAATAAAGATATTTCTCTAATTTTATTTTTTACTTAAAACACAAAGTGAACATTTTAGCACATACTGAGCCTTAATGCTCATAGTTGTGAATTGAGCCAGAGCAATACATTTTCTGTTACTCACTTTTTCTTCTTTCTCTATTTTTTGATGTCTTTCATTTGCTTTGGAAGAATTTATTTATGAATTTATTTTTTCCCTTTTGTTTAGGATGAGGATTTTGTGGGTCGGGATGATTTTGATGATGCTGACCAGCTGAGGATAGGAAACGATGGGATTTTCATGTTAACTTTTTTCAGTAAGTACATACATGTAGCAGAATCACTTGTATAAACTAGAGTGCTTTGGATTAAGGGAGAATCTGACTGACTTAAAATAGCTACTTGAGCTAACATTTTAATATTATATTTATTTGATGCTTCTTAGTGAGAAGTTCAGTACTCTAAAAATAATGTTAATATCCTTTCTTTTTGTTTTCTGTTTCTATGAATACCTATGTAAAATATAATTAATGCTGTTATGGAGATTCTGCATGTTCACAAGAGCTGATAAGCCTCATCTTTCAGGTCTAGGGAGCCCTTTAGCACTGTGCCTACTCTTACCTATAGGACAGCAATTAAAGTATTGTTTTCCGATGCTTTTGTTTTACAAGCTTCTATTTTCTCTCATATCAAAGTCAGTGGATTTTCCTCCCTTGATGCTATTTTGCATTTTCATGTGTCTTATTTAGAAGTGAGCAACCATTTCTTTTATTTGCTGTATTAAAAAGAGGAAATGCAGTGCTTTTAGATTTGACATTATGCAAGTTGTCAAAATTCATAGAAGCAGCAGTATGAATGTCTTGAATCAGGTTAATTTGGGGTCACTAATTTAATGTTCAAGGCATCTATTTTATTTACTGTACTGTAATACATGAAGTAAAGTGCATAAGTTGTAAGTATAGTTTAGTGAAAGTTAAAACATTTTTGAAAATGAATCACAATAGATATAAATAGTGTTTTTGTTGTTTGCTTTTGGGAAGAAGAAGACAGAAAGACAGTGTTTTGGGGACATGGGGTAAGGGTTGTACAGAGCTGGCTGAACCAAGACTAGAGGGCGCCGTGAGGAATCTTCAGGTGACAGGACATGTCTGACATCTTTTTTTTCCTCTCTGCTTTTACAGTGGCATTCCTCTTTAACTGGATTGGGTTTTTCCTGTCTTTTTGCCTGACCACCTCAGCTGCAGGAAGGTATGGGGCCATTTCAGGATTTGGTCTCTCTTTAATTAAGTGGATCCTGATCGTCAGGGTAAGTTGTACATCAGGAAAGATGGATTCTGTACAGAAGCAATAAATTGAATGACTTGGAATATTTGTTTTTCATTTGCTTGCTTTGACTTACCATTTAAAATTATTTTTGGCTTGTCTTTGTTGTGGGGTCATGAAGTTCAGTTGAAATAATTTATAGTTGGTTTTTGCATACAAATTTTATAGTCAAACCTAGTGAATATTGGTGGTCCAAGGGTATTTTACAAGTTATTCTTCAGCTCTGTTTTTAATTTATAATACATATGTTCATTCTGAAATAGGTTATCTTTATAAAAAAGTAAGGATATCACCTCTTTGGTGTCTTGTCAGAAACAGGCATTTCTCTCACTAATTCTACTGAAGTTTAATCTAGCTTTCTTCTCTCCTTCCATTTCTTCTTTTCTCCATTCTTCCTTGCTCTCTTCTTCTCTTCCAGGATTGGTTTTCTGTGGCATCATTGATAATGCCAAAATGATTGGGGAACCAAACTGTTCAACCAACTGACTCTATTAGTGGGCCTTATAGCAAAGTAAATTAGAGATCTTCACTCATTTGGGAGTTCCCATTTATTAGAATCTCATGAAGTAACTTAAAACTGTGCTGTGTAAGATCTGATCCTATGATTTCAGATAAGTTTATCGCTGTTGTCAGTTTTGTAGGTAAAACCAATATATTCATCATACATTGACATTATTAACTAATGAATGGGTATTGACTGACCACTGGAGTTTTCCATATTTATTCTAAAGCAGTTAACGTGTTGAAGATTCCAAATTCCTTTGAGAATCTGATAAAACTTGTGGACTTTTGTCCCAGCAGCTAATACATACTCATCTAAAACATGTACTTTGGGTTAAGAACCCAAATCCTAAAGAGGTTTTTTTATTATCTAAATTGTAATTTTACTTAAGAACTAAAAGACTGCATTTTAATTTTCAAACTGTTAAACTTTTGAGTATGAAAAGCCTCCAACAGAAAACAGATAAAATTAGTTGACAGTCTTTTTTTTGCACTAAATTTTTTAATTGACCATATTTTTGAAAATTGAATCAACTTGTGTTAGTTAGGATGACTTTGGCTGTAAGTAACAGAAACCTAGCACAAAATGGCCTGAAGAATGGTAGGAAAAGTCATTCTCTCATGAAAATAAGTCCTGATAGGGAGGTTAAATTGATATCATCTGAAATAAGTAATGTTCTGCTCAGCATTTTGGTATAGCTGCCCCCCTCTCAGGTTAATTAAGGCTGATGATGACAGTTTCAGGAATCATCAAAAACACAACAATGCTTAGTAGAAGAAAGGGAAGTGTTTCTTCTGTTTTCTCTTTAAGAGCAAGGAAACCTAGAAGCTCTCAATAACCATTGATCAGGAGTGGGATGATCATTTTGTACATGATAAAGCTTTCAAGATCAAGGCATGACTGAAGAGGTAGGAATAAAATTAGGTCTCATTAAAATGAAGGCCATACAATTGGTTTTGGCAGTAGGTAAGTAAAGTAAAAGCATCAGCAAAACTTACTTCCAGAAAGGCAAAAGTTATGTGGGCAAGGAAAAAGCACTCTCAAAATGAGTTCATATAGGCAAAAGCTATTTCAAAAGATTGTTTTTCAATGGCGGGAAATGTATTTGCATGTATTATAACCATTTTAAATCAGCAATATATGAAATACTTTCATTTATATTTTTTGTCAGAACTAAATGACAGCAATCAGTATGCTGTCTCTTGTGTGTTCAGTGTTTTGTGTGTCCTTAAGTTAAAATGTGAAATTGTATTTGCTAAGCTGCTATAAAATATTTTACTTTATTTTTCAGTTTTCTACCTATTTCCCTGGATATTTTGATGGTCAGTACTGGCTCTGGTGGGTGTTTCTGGTTTTAGGTAAGTTGCTTTTTTTTTTTTTTTAATATATATTTAAAGAGCAGATTTATTAGAAAAGGGATAGGATAGTAAAAGACACTTGCATAGACACAAGCGGGCAGGAAGAGCTGCCCCAAAAGAGACAGGTTTGCTGAGAGAAGCCTGCATGGTTGCAAGCGGGCGGCCTTGAGGAGAGCTGCCTCCACTGAGGGAGGTCAGTGAGAAGTCCCGTCATGATACAAGTCATGGGCAGGGTGAAAGCTGCTGCCCTGCAGGAGAGAGATGGTGAAAGGAAGCACCTGCATAGGCACAGGTGGGCAGATGGAGTACTGCCTAGGTAAGTTGCTTTTAACATAAAAGAAAGAAAAGATTATGTTAAATTTTAGAGGCAAAATTACTTTCAGGAAACCTTCATCTTTTTTACTATACCGTAATATATTAGTAATAATGAGCGTAATTAAAAAAATTTCTCCCTTAAAGATTAGATATTGTCACCATCAGAGTAACATAACATGCATGTCATAATAAAACTTTTCTACGTGGTGTTGGGTTTTTCCTAACCATTCATATGCATGTTCCCCATGTGACCAGGGAGGCACACCGCTAAGTCTGTGGACTTTTCCCCTTATGAGTTATTGTCAGAAAGTTCACAAACTCAACTCCAAATTGTTTCTAGGCCCACTGTGACCAGGTGTACTCATGAGTGAATGTGGCCCATCTTCTGTTGAATCTGTCAATAGAAAACAAGATGTATAGCCTTAGTAAACATTAACTGCTGAAAGAACCACTGTTGGGTTTCCAAATTCATTAATTTGCTCTTGGTAAGAATAAGAATTGTTTTAGCGTAGGGGAGGAGGCTTTTTTTTTTTCTCTTTTTTAATACCAGGCAGGTTGTTGGTCTTAACATTACTCTGTTTATTTTAAAATCTTTTTTCCAAAACATGTTAAAATGATGAACATTGGAGTAAATACTGCTGACTTCTTCATTTGTAAAAAGAATATATATGCTTCAGTAATGGAGACCTCCATCACTGCTGTCATTTCTGCAAAGCAATTGTGGGGCCATCTTGTATCTATTAAAGATAGTGTAATTGTCTTCCTCTGCTTCTGTGACATCACTTTCTCCTAAGTCCTATGTTGTGCCTTCTTGTTGCCTCCTTTTTAAAGATTCTTGGTAGCAGTGCTGTTCATGGGTCTGGCTAGCACAGGGCAGGACCTATGTCCACAGTGCTTAATACATTCAGGACCTATGATTTGCTTTAAGTGGCAGAGTCTTGCATTGCTGACTTTGAATTTTACTTAAAAAACAAGTCACATTTCCCCCCCCTCCTTTCTGATTAATAAGAAGCTTAATAATAAAAGTGACCTACAGTAAAGTTATTTTGGAGGAATAAATAGTTCCTTGACTTGCTTATTCTCTAAACTATATCTTTGAAAGAAAGGCTGACTTACACTCTTCCTGCACACCTATAAAGTCCAAGCAAATCCTGAGCCAACAAAGGAAGAGCCATTAAACATATTTTCAGGTTGATTATTGAAAGCATAGATACTTTAAAGACATTTAGTGGGCTCATTTCCTTTCGATTGTAAAGTTTCATGGAAGATGAATTTGTAATACTTTATAATTGATCATTTTCACTCTCTTGATGCATAGTAGTAAGCAAAAAATGGTGAGATCTCTGTGGATGTAGTTTATGTATTCGAATCCAATAGTTGAATCATTTTTGGAACGTCTCTTGCAGAGAGAACAAATATTCTTGGAGTTTTTCCTATAAGCACTATGTCTACAGAGTCCTCAAGCTGAGTAACATCTAGCCTGTAATTATGGTTGGTTTGTTCCACATTTATTTTCAGAAGTTTCCTATTAGTTGCCAACATTTTAAAAAAGCAAGGGTTCCACATAAAACATCTAAATTTTTTTACTTTCATCAAAAATTATAATGCTGAATTAAACTTGCCTGTTTTCCCACATGGTATCCACCCTTTGACTGCAGCTGAGGTGTAGCTGAACCCCTGCGTACAGGTTATGCCCTCCCCTGTTCATTAAGATCCCCCCACCCAGCATTTGAGAGGCGACCCTTGCCCCATAGTCCTTTGCTGCTTTTGGTACCAAACAGAGTGGTATTCACTGAACTGAATGCTGTAGATGACTCTTGGTTGCTGACAGAATTCAGTTTTATCTGAGTACAAAGAATTTTCCAAAACTGAGTATATTTTTTAAGAGCTGGAGAGGAGGGAGCAAGGAAGTGAAGAGTAACTAACTGCTAGTGGGTATAGATTATTTTAGGAATGATAAAAATAACTAAAATGCATTATGGTGATAGTTGTACAGCTCCAACGCTATACTAAAAGTCAATGAATTGAACATGTTGTTGATCAGGTGTGCTTTATAATACATAAATTATCTCGATAAAGGTGTTTTTAAAATGTGTCTAAGATTGAGGGACCATCTCTGAAGGAGGAGGACCAGAGTGTCAGAGCTACCATTGGAGGGGGCGCATGTCTTCTGGGTGACTCCTCCAGGAGGTACAAACCTCTGTGAATGTATAGGTTGTGGTGTAGCCATAAAAAGCCAGTCTTACTCCTTTACTTCCTGGTAAATAAATGGCAACGCACACCCTATTTGATGCTGTGTTAGGTAAGGAGATCCTGACATCTAGTGGACAACATTATGTACTGTCTGCAGAAAAAAATCCCTTGACAAAAAAGGGTACATTTTTAAATTTTTTTTTTTTAACTTGAGAAATACAGTTTCTAGCTTCTCTTTTTTTGGGAATTAATTATCTTGCTTTTTTTTTCTTTTTAACTGAGAAGCTAGGCATTGATAATGCTTCTCAGTGAGGTTCACAAATGTAAATATTTGGACCCATCTTATTTGTTATTGCCTTTTTAGACAAACTAGATTTTGAATGTGCCAAAGAGACTTTTATTTGACTTTTGAGACTTCCTTCTTACTGAGAAATAAAATATTTATTTGGAAAATTTGGAGGAAATAGCTCATGTTTTGATATCTTTTAGCAGAAAAAAACAAAGTAGTGTTGGGGGGAACTTCATGGAAACTATAAACTCACTCTTGATTTTTCTGTTTTAAATTAGGCTTTCTCCTGTTTCTCAGAGGATTTATCAATTATGCAAAAGTTCGGAAGATGCCAGAAACTTTCTCTAATCTCCCCAGGACCAGAGTTCTCTTTATTTATTAAAGGTATTAAAACCAACAGACTTTATTCTACCCTACTATAATAACTATGTGATACATTTACAGATTTCTATTCCAGTGTACAGCAGAGTGTATGTAACCCCCTGTGGCAGGGGATATAGAGAAAGTATGGAAACCACAGTCATTGCTTTTTAGCAGTTGCTTATTAAGGAGTAGTTTTACTTACATAGAGCTTTTGAAAAAGATAAGTTAGAAAAACCACCATAGGAGAAAACTTTGTCTCGTGTTTTGACAGTGCAGAAGAGGAAAGGTCTTAGTGATCATCAGGGATAAGGTATTTGACAGGAATTCTAGGTCCAAGATATTTGAGTTTTGAATCTTGAATCCTGAAGCCACTGCTTACTAATGTGCCAGTTCCAGAGCATGATACTGTGAGAAGGAGCCTTTTAGGTCAAACTGCTCTGCCCTAACCCTAGAGCTGAGACAGTCCTTTGGAAACTTAATAACTCGTTTTGCCTGGGCTACTGAAAAAAATCCACCAAGGCTTCCATGTCTTAAAAAATTTCCTGGATAGCTTACTGTTCACTCTGATGTTACCACTTTGGTGGTCAGGCAGATCAAACCCTAGGGAAGGAAGGGGAGAAAGGTCCTTTTCCCCTCCAAGAACAGGAGGACTAAGAGCTCTTTGAGGCTCTTTGATCCACTCATGTTTAACCCCAGAAGCTAACTTCATCTTAAATCAGCAGCTGCTGAAAGGAACAGATAGAGAAAGATAGTATACTGGAGAGCGGCCTCTCTGAATAAGATCTAATAGTCCATCTTGAGCTTTGTCTTTGTTCCTTAAGACTGTTGAGAACTCGGTGGATTGTGGAGGGCAACCTTAAAACAACACCTCGGGGTCAGGCCAGTTGGAGGACTCAGGCAAGGCTTTGTAAAGGGTATAGCAGTTGAAATAAGCCTTAAATTCATGGGTAGAATTTCAACTTGTAGAAATTAGATAGGGTGAGGAAGAATTTCAGAATTAACCTAACATAGTGAAGAGCAGAAGTAGAGTTAGAGCTTGCTCAAAGAGCAAGCTATGAGAGTGAAGGCTGGAAAGCCAGGTTGAGACTGTCCTCAAGTATCTTGAGTACTAAGCCCATTTGCAATGGAATCAGAATTTAGAGAACAGCCCTTTAAACCCAGGGATGTGTTTGATGGCTCAATATAAGCACAATCCCATGAGAACATTATTTTCTGTATTTGCTGTTGGGTTATCATAGTTTACACAGACTAGGAGTAGAGTTCTAAATTTGAAGCTTGGTGATGGTCTTAAGATAGATGCATTAAGAAATGAAAGTATCCACCATATTTAATTTACAAGGTGGTAGGACAGCATTGAAAGTTTTAATCAACAGAATAATATGAGATTTTAATCATCAGATTAATAATAGGAGAAAGTTTTTAGTCAATAGAATGAATAATAAGAATAAACAGAATAACAAATAATATATATTTGTTAAATTAACAAAAATTTTTTCAAGCATGGTATAGCTAATATCGGTCAACTTTTCTATATATCAGATAGTATTAAGCACTTTCCTGTATAATTTAATGTACTTATGTAAATAATAGAAGGTTATAGTAATAAATAAGCTTAGATATATGGTAAGGTATATTCATAAGGCATTTCTTATAAAAATTAAAGCATGCAAGAAATTTTGGCTTGGGTTGATTTAAAGTCAATATCTTCAAAGGACTTACATGCATTTATTTGAAGGAAAATTTTAGTAATTAAGAGTAGCAATTGTTTTAAGATACATTTAAAAATTGGGCCTCCCTGGTAGTGCAAGGGGTTAAGCACAGCACTGTGAGGCTATCCGCAGCTTCTGCATCATGAGTTCGATCCCCGGCTGACCAGGGAGCTACCCACATGGTGCAGCAGATCTCTCCTGTCTTGCCTGCTGCTCCCCTCAGCAATATATTTCAGTCAGTCGCCTGTTCTGTTCCCCACTCTGTCTCTGGTGAATCCTCTAACCCTCACACCTCTGGCCTGTACCCCAGTTCTTGTATGCATAAATAAATAAATCTTAAAAAAGAGATATTTTTAAAAGTTGAGATATACTAGATATGTAACAGTATTTTCAGGTGCATACTGTATAATTTGTATATACTGCAAAATGATGACAACAGGATCCAATGTGACTTTTTTTCTTTTTTTATGGGAATGATGTTTGGTTTTGGCAATAAAAATGCTTAGTGGTTATTGTTAGAAATTAGTATCAAAGAAAATGTGGCTAGGCCTCCCCTGGTGGCGCAGCGGTTGAGCGCTGGGCTGCAAAGCTGCCCGCAGCCTCTGCAGCAACGGTTCGATCCCCAGCCGCTGGGCAAGGGTCCCACATGGCACAACAGATCTCTCCTGCCGCGCCTGCTGCTCCCCTCAGCAATGTACTTCGTCAGTCTGCCTGTTCTGTTCCCCACTCTGGCTCTGGTGAATTCTTTCACCCTCTCGTGCTTCTGACTGGACCCAGTGCTTGTATAAATAAATAAATAAAATTTTTATTAAAAAAAAAAAAAGAAAATGTGGCTAGAAGAAAATTTCTCCACATACTCTTAGAATTCTTATGTCCCTGTAACTGATAGCCCTCTCCTTGTATGTATATTTATTTAATCAATATCCAATAGAATGGTGCATAGTTTGCAGTTTATGAATATATAAAAACGTATGATCATTTTCTGTATCACTAAGTGAGTATCATAAATGTGCTTTTTTAAAAAAAAGCACATTTTATTTTGCCTTTTGACCCCACCCCTTCACCCATTTCTTCCCTCCCCCCCTTCTTCCTCCCCTCCACTTCACCACCCTGAGCATGCTTTATTGCCTATTTAAAAATGTGTGGCATGTCATGGATATAGAGTCAGTCGCAAAGTCTAGACAGAATGTGCTTTGATATCACTGGCCCAGATCCCTAATGGCTATGATGTGTCTTGGACATCCTAGCTTTAAGAGTCTTATCAGATCTTCTGTTCATTTTTATGTGGTTATTGTCATTTTTTTCTTTATATATTTGATTGTAATTTATACTTATTTCCATAAGCCTTAGGTTTAGCTCCTATCAAATTCAAAAGTTAATTCTTTTGGATTGCCTCAAGATCCAGAAATCATCTGCAGATTACCACCCCCTCCCCCAATCCTTTGGTGTCTAAACTATCCTACTTCTTTATTTTTTAAAAAAGATGCTGTAGTCTAGTTTTAATGGTAGCTCTAAATTTCTTAATACTGAGATTACTCCTTCATCTATTCTTTTTATCCCTTAGTTAAAAGGAAATTTCTCTTTTTTTTTTTTATAAAGAGGCATGTGTTTTTATTTATTTATTCGTTTGTTTTTGTTTATACATGCACTGGGTACAGTCAGAAGCGCGGGAGGGTGAGAGAATTCACCAGAGCCAGAGCGGGGAGCAGAGCAGGCAGAAGGACCGAAGTACACTGCTGAGGGGAGCAGCGGGCGGCAGGAGAGGTCTGCGCGCCATGTGGGACCCTCCTCCAGTGGCCGGGGAGCAGCCGGGGATCGAACCGGCGCCGCAGAGGCCGCGGGCAGCTTCGCAACCCAGCGCTCAACCGCTGCGCCACCGGGGAGGCCCATGATAGATTTTAAATTCTGTTATTGTGATCACATCTGAAATAAAAAGGGGGAAAAGTTTGTAAAACCTGACATTCATAAGATGAAGCCTGTCATCATTAGTGATTACTATGACCTGGTGAGCGATAGGTGTTTTTTTTTTAAAGATTTACTTATTTATGCGTACAAGAACGGGGGTACAGGCTAGAGGTGCGGGGGGTGAGAGCATTCACCAGAGACAGAGTGGAGAACAGAACAGGCAGATTGACTGAAATATACTGCTGAGGGGAGCAGCGGGCAAGACAGGAGAGGTCTGCTGCACCATGTGGGTAGCTCCCTGACCCAGGGATCGAACTCGTGCTACAATGGCTGCAGAGGGCTTTACAGTGCTGTGCTTAACCTCTTGGGCCACCAGGGAGGCCCCTGGTGAGCAATAGTTACTAAACATCAAATATTTTAACTTTTCCCTATAGTCTTCCTCAGTGCCTCTCTTAATTTATTAAAGAAAATTCATCTCAAGTTAGTTTGATTTTGTTTGGACTGTGTTTTAAAGTTACCAAGATAGTAGAAATGTTTCCAGTGGGACTTTTGCTTAAAACTTTCATTTAATGTCCAAGAAGGAAAGTTTGTCTTATTATTGCAAGTAGAGGACCTAAAGGCTACCCGGTTAGGAGGAGAGCTGCCTCTGCTGCTTTTGCAAAGGGAGAAAGTTGGTGAGGGGAAACACCTGCATAGTCAAGGTGGACAGGAGAGCTGCCATTTCCATTTACTAGTTTTCTTTTTGTTGCTTCTTGACTTTCAAAGTTCTGTGTCTTTGTCCCTGCACACCCTGATGTTTTTCAGTCTATAGAAAATTGTTTCAGTATTGGATTGCTTCAAAACAACTGAATTTAGAGTTTGGGGAAATGTTAGCAGTTGAAAGAGAGTATGTTGATTTCCTCCAGTGTTTTAGTTTTTGTTCATTTTGCCAGTCTTTTGAAGATTTTTCAGTGGTCCAATCTGAAAAGAGTCATGTGACTACAGTAATTTGGAAAGATGGAAAAATTAAGGGTGTGTGTGTGTCCAAGTTCCATTTGGGTAGGGTATGCCACAAAGTAGACTCACAATAAATATATGTTAATTAGCTCATCTATCTCACTAGTGTTATTTTTTTTAATATTTTATATAATTCTTACATCATTTTTCATCTTTGTACAATGTATGCATTTTCATTTTGGTTATATTCCCCATACAATTGCCCGCCCCCCTTATTTTGACTCTAGTTCTTCCTCTTAGTGTTATTTCTTCTAGCATCATCCTAGAGAGTTATTTGTAGCTTTTCCCAAGTTGTTTTCATAGCAGTCAAATTAATTTACCATTCTAGTGCAGAAATACCTCAAAGTATTGGATAAAAATTACATTTAACAAAATATAAGAACATTATTTTGAGAGTATTTCAGTCACGTAATAACTGAATAATAAAAATTAGTTTGGGGCTTCATAGATGTATTATTAAACATGCCCCCCCAAATACATTGACTTAACAAAAATTGCTTAAAAGAAGTACTTATGACACCTGTGAGTTTATAGTCACTTTTAAACTTTGCCATGGTTTAAGTACAGCTTTAATCATTGACATCCTTTTTTGGAAATCTTCCTTGTATGAATCTAGCAGAGTTGGCCGGGCAAACAGTAGCTTCAAGTGTGTTAGGAAAGTTACTTATGCACTTGAATACTCCTGTCTTCTTGCCCCAAGTTCCTGTCATTGCTGTCATCTTATATTTTGAGGTTAAGTGTGGGGTGAAAGAAGTGCTGTTTGTGTTTTTTTCTTAGGAGGTTTGGAGAGAAACCCCTGAGCTGAAAGGTTTTAGAGGAAGCATTTAACTTATTTCTAGTTCTAGAATCCTATTTTAATAACTTTAAGAACTGAAATTTTGGGCCTCCCCTGGTGGCGCAGGCGGTTGAGCGCAGTGTGGTGAAGATGTCTGATCCCTGCCGGCCAGTGAGATACCCACACAGCACAGCAGACCTCTTCTGTCTCACCTGCTGCTGCCCTCAGCAGTGTATTTCAGTCAGTCTGCCTGTTCTATTCCCTGCCCTGTCTCTGGTGAATCCTCTCAACCTCCCGCTCATCTGTCCTGTACCCCAGTTCTTGTATGCATGAATAAATTTAAAAAAAAAGAAGTGAAATTTTAATGTTTATTGAATACTATGATGTCAATGTATAGTAATCTTAAAGTTATGTTAAAATGTACTTCTTTCGTCTGCAAACATCCTGCTTTCTTTTGTCACTACATCCTTCTCTTAACCAAAATAACAAGCTAACTGGAATTTCAATATTCAATATCCTCCTCTGGCAGATGTTTTCTGGCAAGGGCCTTCCTGCGTTTATGAATTCTCTCTCAAGAAGCAAGAGAACACCTGCAGGAAGTGAATCAAGATGCAGAACACAGAGGAATAATCACCTGCTTTAAAAAAAATAAAGTACTGTTGAAAAAGATCTTTTCTCTCTATTTGTTCCTAGGTGTAAAATTTTAATAGTTAATGCAGAATTCTGTAATCATTGAATCATTAGTGGTTAATGTTTGAAAAAGCTCTTGCAATCAAGTCTGTGATGTATTAATAATGCCTTATCTATTGTTTGTAGTCATTTTAAATAGCATGAGCCTTGTCCCTATAGTCAGTAGGGGGCAATCTTGCTTTATTCATCTTCCATCTCAAAAAGAATTTGGAGTTAAATATTTTAGTGTAAGATATGTATAATGCTGGCCATTTTAAAGGGGTTTTCTCAAAAGTTAAAACTTTTGTTATGACTGCATTTCTGCACATAATCCATATTTGCTGTTAAAATAAATCTAGAAATTTATTCATTTGTACTGTGAACACCTGAAAGCAAAATCATAGTGCAAAATACATTTAAAGTGTGGTCAGGAATATGTTCTTAATTGGTAAATAATAAGCATTAATTTTTTAGTCTGTGTTCTAAATTTTGCAGTACTTTATTGTTCTGTATTGTGTACCTAAGGGATTCTAAAGGTGTTATCACTGTATAAAACAGAAAGAACAAAGACAAATGCAGCTGAATTACTAAAATGCAATCCTTGACACTGTTTGATATGAGTCCCTACCCGTTTTTTCTTTTTCTTTTATTTCCTGATGATTAGGCCAGGGGCTCGGAGTAGGGAAGGGCGGAATAGTTACTAGGAGCAAAAAAAGAATTAGCTTGGAACTTTTGAGATGATCCCTAACATACTGTACTACTTGCTTTTACAATGTGTTAGCAGAAACCAACGTGTTACAAATGTAGAATGATGTGCTTTCTGCCAAGTGGTAATTCACCTTGGTTTGCTATGTTAAAACTGTAAATACAACAGAACATTAATAAATGTCTCTTGTGTAGCAACCTTTGCTGTAGATTAGTGCGTAATTTCTTGGTTTGCATTGTTGATTGCTAAGGCATTTTTTTCTAATCTCCACTCATACATACAGATCATTTAGTAAATAGTTTAGAAACTGGTCCTGGGCCAATTTTTTTTTTCCATTTCTAGCCAGAAAGGTTCCCTTCTTTCATATCATACTCATTGAATGTGAAAATTGGTTCTGCAAAAGATAATGGACTAAAATAGGGAGGAGGACTTGTAAAGATCTTAAATCATTCTAAAATTTCTAATTACGCTTCATTGTTTTAGACATAATCTTAAATTACTTACTTCCAATATTTTCTGAAGGTTTCTCAAACACAACCAACATGTTAGTCCTCTGAGCACCTAGTTGAGGCTATAGTTAATCCTCACACCTGATTTCTATTCTTGTCTCAGTTCTGTTAAATTTAGAGATCAGTGTTTCTTACATTATCAGCTATTTCGTTTTTTCCCCTTCTTCCACTTAGATAAAATATAAAGAAAAATGCAGAGAGATTATCAAATAGTTACCTAAACCAGCACTTCACTTGGTGCAAGAACTGTAAATGTTCTTTTATCAGCAACGTATGAACATCTGGAATCAGTTTAGAAAGTCTGTTCAGGGGTGTCAGTAGGTGATGCATAGAAGTGTAGATTGTGTAAAGTCTAGGACTTGGACTGACATTTCAGTGATGATTCTAACTAGTTTATTGACTCTTACAAGTAATAGAATAGTATGTTCTTGTTCAAAAGTTATTTTTTGCCATAGATAAATGGGGTTTTATAAAAGTCCAGTTTTTTTGAGTTTGATTATCCCAACACCAGAGTTTAGAAGTTTTTATACCCAAGAATGTTTTAAGTTTTAGAAATATGTGTCTAACAGTCTGAATAAATGTGGATATATGCAATAGAGAGAATAAATGATCTCAAGGCAAAATAGAAGGACCCTAAATCACAGTAACTCAAACATTGTAGACTTGCTTTGTGTTTATTCTTTAGGTCCTTGTTCCTTATTTGGTTTTGTATATTCAGAGAACTGAAATATTTGGAATTCCTATTTCTGCATATTTGGTGATATGTAAGACTTTGTTAAATATAAACCCTCAGTTTGCTATACTTTAGAAGTACTTAAGAGGATGATTTCTTTCTAATTTTAAATATTCTAAAAGTCAAAGTTTTTTCTGATACTTAAAGTTGGCACCATAAGTCACTTATAGTCCTTACTATTTAGAGTGGAAATATATATGCTGAACTGTTGTTCTTCATTTTTTCTCATTCTTTTCTGTCTCCCTTTTGTAGGTTCATTAAGAATAACTTTTGGATAAAGACTGGGTCCTTAAATTATTTGAAAGGGGATACTGAGGAACCACTGTTTTTGCCAAAGATTATGGAATAAAATGACTGATCCTGGGCTAAAGAATAACAAGGGCTTACTCACCACTATAGAGGTCCCCCATGTTTCTTGTTGCCATTTGGAAATATAAAAGCTATCTTTAAAGGGTTCTGTGTAGCCACTCCTTTTTCCCCCCAAAAAAGATTACTTGTGTGGGAATTAAAGTTATTAAAATTCACTTGTTAAAAAATGGTAACAATACCTTTACTAACAAGAATGGATAAGAATGAGTGTCTTTACATTTTGTTTAGAGTGTTAAAAGAAATGACAAGATTTTTTCATGAAGTTAAATGATAATCGCATTTTTTTTTCCTGTTGTTAAGTATTTATTATCTGACTTGAGCTGTGACCCACCATGAATCATTAGTAGCACAGATGAAGTTTCTTTTGGCCTTCACTATATATCATTATGCTAGAACATATTCCACTTAGTTGTTTTTAATATAAATTATTTATATTTAAGGGATGAAATAACTACTGAAAGGGAATTTCAGGACCCATAGAAGTGGTAATTTCAGTGACGACCTAAAGCAGCAAGCTTTTGAGGTAAGGATCAACAAAAATAGGCTTCACAAATGGAGCCTGTCCTCAAATTTGAATCCAACCCCGCCTCTGCCCAATATCTGACCACCTTGAGTTCAGGCTCATTGTCATAATAGACCATGAAAAATCATTTGTCCCTGATTCTAGTGAACAGTTGAATTTTACCTTAAAACATTCCAAGCATAGACATTTACATAAAATATGAGGGAATATTTTATGAAAAAGTTCTTGGTGAAGCCTCCTTGATGAAACCTGGTAAATCACATGCATGCTGTAGTTTAATAATTTTCATGTTATGCTGGTTTTTTTCAACTATTTAATTTTACCTTTGCAGGCTTTCTGAGATGATAAGGACAAAATAAATTTCTATAGATGGTTTGCACATTTTTTTAAAAATCATGTTTTGTATATTTTTAAGCCTGAATAGGATTTATAGACTGTAAGGAGAAAAAGTGGGTTGAATGAGAGCATTGTTCAACTAAGACTATTCTTTTTGCATATATGTATAATTGTAGTTATTAAAGAGTACCCACAAAAAGTACTCTGACATATAGCCTCTGAACTTTGCTTCTTTGTAGGCTATGTTGCTGAAGTGGATGACATCTCAAAAAGAAGTAAGCCAAGAATTCCTGAAGGGGAGAGTTTTAGGTTGAGTAAATGGTTTTCAGGAGGAAAAGATAGTTATAGAAACTGACGATATCGTCCCCATCCTAAAAAGAGGGTATCACCAACAACTTTATGATCTACAGAATAAACTTATAGAAAGTCTGTGGAGACTGTCCTCCAGTGGACACTTTGCCTGTCTATAAAATGTGCCATCTACTGTGTGACTTTTTTTTAAAGATTTATTTATTTATGCATACAAGAACTGGGTACAGGCCAGAGGTACGGGGGGTGAAAAGATTCACCAGAGACAGAGTGGGAACAGTACAGGCAGATCGATAGAAATATACTGCTGAGGGGAGCAGTGGGCAAGTCAGGAGAGGTCTGCTGTGCCATGTGGGTTGCTCCCTGGCCGTACTGCAGTGGCTGCAGATAGCTTCATAGGTTGCATCTTAACCCCTTGTGCCACCAGGGAGGCCCTACTGGTTCGCTCAGCCTTCTAGTAACCCAAAGAATGTGTGACCATAGAATACAGTTATTTATTATTATTATAAATGTATTACTAAAGTTTTGGTTTGATACTTGTTTTTACTTAAAACCGTTTTTTTCTTTACTAAACACCATTTGATTTAGAAAGTTTTTTTTTTTAAAGAATATTTAAGTTTTATTTATTTATTTATACAAGCACTGGGTACAGTCAGAAGCGCAGGAGGGTGAGAGAATTCACCATAGCCAGAGCGGGGAGCAGAGCAGGCAGAAGGACTGAGGCACACCGCTGAGGGGAGCAGCGGGCGGCAGGAGAGGTCTGCGTGCCAGTCTGCGCGCCATGTGGGACCCTCCTCTGGTTGCCGGGTTGCAGCCGGGGATCGAACTGGCGCTGCAGAGGTTGCGGGCAGCCTCGCAACCCAGCACTCAACCGCTGCGCCACCGGGGAGGCCCTGATTTAGAAAGTTTTAATTCTTAAGTTCACAAATTCATCAATTAGCAACTTGTAACCTCCAGTGCAAACCTCTTGAATTCAGAATATATGAAATGTAGAGTCTTTTGCATTTATGCAGGATTTCATCCAGGTCAGAAACTGAGATGCAGTTGTGTGAAATAGACATCTCCCAGGCCTGGTTTATATATTCATTTTGCTTGAAAAATTACTAGTTTTTCAACCTAAGTGCCCACTGGATCAAGAAGATGTGATATATCCACCCAATAGAATGTTACTCAGCCATGCGGCAAGATGAAATGTTGCCACTTACAGCTAAATGAGGGAATTGTGTAGTAAAGCCAGTCAGAATGATAAAAATTGTGGACTTTATAAATAGCAGACAATTCAACAAAGCAAAAATACTTACAATAACTAGTGGACACTAACAAAGTGAGGCTTCTCATGTTAAGAGGGAGGGGAAAGAAGAGTGTAAGGGATGGTGATGAGAAAAAATTAAAAACTCGCAAGGGCGAGAGCCTAAACCCTTCTGTGATTTAGTAGTTCTATAGATTTAGGTATTGAAATACATTTTTCTTTGTTTTTCCAACACATTTCCTGTAGAATCAGTAAAAAATCAGGTTTGGTTCCTGTGGAATTCCACAGAGCTTCTAAATAGGATAAGTACTCATCTCAAATCTTCTCTTTCCATGTAAGAAGGTTGAAGAGAAGAAAGAAACTTGCAGAGCAGGAATACGAACCATTGAGAATATTTTCATGTCATTGGTTGTGAGATAAAATTAAGAATTATTTTGTCTTTATATGTTCTTCCCAAAACTCATGGCTACAGTATTTTTCAGTAGGATTATGCAAAAGAATGTATATGCAAAGCAATGAGGAAATGTTATAGGGAAATTAATCACATGGGCTTTATCCCTGGGATGCAAGAATGTTTCAACTTATGCAAAGGTGTGGCTTTTATGGGAGCTGAAAGAATTCCACTCTCCCCCCATGAACCTGGTTCTTTGCTCATGGAATGGTACCACTATGCATAACGTACCTAAACCAACCCCCAGAGAAAAAAATTGAAAATACATTTTTTAAAAGTAGCTAGTTTTTATGTTGGTGGGAAATAAGATATTTCATAAATTCTCCACGCATATATGACTAGGTTTAGAGACCCCAAAGCTGATGTCTGAGGAGACAGTATTCATTGGTACTCATTAATTGAAAGGTTCACATCTGGTGAAGCCTGGGAAACCAGAAAACTGGTCTAAAGCTAAAATCTCGGGCCTCCCCGGTGGCGCAGCAGTTGAGCGCTGGGTTGCGAAGCTGCCCGCAGCCTCTGCAGCGCCGGTTCAATCCCCGGCTGCTCCCTGGCCATGGGAGGAGGGTCCCACATGGCGCGCAGACCTCTCCTGCCGCCCACTGCTCCCCTCAGCAGTGTTCTTCGGTCCTTCTGCCTGCTCTGTTCCCCGCTCTGGCTCTGGTGAATTCTCTCACCCTCCCGCACTTCTTACTGTACCCAGTGCATGTATAAACAAACA